GTTAAGAACACTATATTTCTCCCATAATAGCACTATATATATATGCTATTATGGGAGTCTTTTGAAAAATAGGTTAATTATACATTTGCTTATATATGCAATGAACATTCTAGAACAAGAAACTAAAAACAGTGGCTGTCCCTGAAGAGAGCTGGGAGACAGAGGTGGGAGGAACTCACCCTTCACTGCATATTCTTCGAATCTTTTGAATTTTGTACATAACCGTGTGTTACTCAAACAATAAATTCTTGGGGGAGGGGGATGCGTTCCATGGGCATCATTCCATGACAGTACATGCTGCACTACCTCATTCTTTTTACTTGCTGTATAGTATTCCGTCTCCCAAGGAGCTGTTCATTTATTTATTTAGCAGGTATTACATCTCATGTTGAGGAGTTAGGAGAAAAGGAGTATACAGGATTGTCCCACAAGTCCTCCAAGTGGAGCATCAACAGCAGGGTGAGGAGGATACATGCAGCAAGAGCTGTAGAAGGCAATATGGGCAAAGTGGCCTGCGGAGAGGGTGTTATGGAGGGCGTGCAAAGGCAGCACGTAGGAAGGGAGTGTTTCATGGTGTGTACAGCAGCATGTGGAGGGAGGAATATGACATAAGGGGATTGAGAAGGAAGTCAGTATGAGGGGCTGCTGTGAAGTACAGTATTTGTAGGAGAGATTTGATGGAGAAGACAGAAATGAGTGGGGGTGGTGGGCTGGATGCAGCAGGAAAAAAAGAAGTGAGGAAATAAGAAATGGAGGTTGGGGGAAAGTAGGCAGAGCAGTATATACGGGTATAGACGCCACATATCATTGGCTTTCAGGACAGGTTGGATCACAAATAATTTTTTCCAGTAAACAAGATTTGTTAAATTTTAGAAATACTAAATGTATACCTAAGAGTTCTGATTTATAAGTGTACTCATTTGAAAACAGTTTGTTTTTGGACTATGTCCTCATTTCAGCCCCAGAAAACTAGGTCTGGCTGTACACAGGGAGCAGAAGGGAAGCGACGGAATAAGACATGGGTGTGCAAGGGGAGGCCTGTGCCTGTTACAAAGCCCAAGGGATCCGAGGGTACAAATCGGATGAATCCGAGGAAGTAAAAAGGGGAGGACTTTAAAGTCAGACCCCATTTTAGTCCCAATCAGTTCAGCTGATGATCTTGGGCAATCGCTTAACCTCTCTGAGCTCCGCTTTCGTTAAAAGCAAACGGACAGGGAGGCGGTAGGACTGGACGGAAGCGAGGCCCGCAAAGCGGCTAGTACCTGCATGACACCGCTGGGTCAGGGCAGCGCTCGGGGAACCAACGTACAGGACCGGGAGAGTGGGCTGCGGGCCCGACAGTCCTGGGCCGCACACCTTCCGGGCGCCCGGATTTGCCGATATCTGGGCCTACCCAACTCCGGCACCGCTGCTTTCCCCTACAGGAGCCCAAACAGCAGGGACGGGCCGCAAAGACTGGACATCAGCGCCCTCTGCAGCCGGGCCCCCTAAACCCGGCCCCGGTACCTGGCAGCGTGCAGTGCCCGTAGCGCCTCGCGGGCGAATTGGTCTGTGCCGAAGAAGAGCACCCGCCAGGGCGGCTTCTCGCGGACTCGGGCGCCCCGGCCGTCCTCCACGCCAGGGGACCCGCAGAGGCCGGCCAGCGCTCGCCACTGGGGGCTCGGCCTTCGGCCAGCGCCGCCACTGCCCGGCAGGGGTCCCCAGCAGCGCCTCACTAGCACCCTCATTGCTTCCGCGGGGCGGCCTACCCCGCGCAGGCGCGTTGGGCTGACCGGGAGGGCGCAAGGCTCGCGGGGCGGGACCCAGGAGGGGTGGGGAGGAAGCCCCATGGGCGGGTCTGACAGCAATTGGGGGCGGGGTCTGTCTGATTGGAGGCGTGGCCAGTCGTGTTGGAGATGGTGAAGACATTTGCCGGTTTTAAGAGTCCACCTGATTTTTGTTGCATTTATTTGAACGATTTATCTAATTTCCCGAAAGAACTCTTTTGGGAACAAATCATGTGTTTCAGGCAATGAAATCTCATTTATTTCCGTAATGCTGTGTCATTTTCTCAGCCACGATGACTAATATTTCGTGTGTATTTTACTCTATGCCGCGCTTTGACTAAGCATTTTGATTAGTTCCTTAAGCCTCATATCAACCATACCAATTAGATATTATCCCAAACATTTTACTGAATAGAATCCGAGGCTCCGTAAAATTAAGTAATTACTTAAGCCTCACAGCTAGCCCATGTAGCTCCAAAGCGTGATCCTAACCATTCACAGCAATCCAATGTACTATGAAAGTCGGTGTCCGTATTTTGCACATGTGGAAAATGTGGCTCAGTTACTTGCTCTCATAGTCGCTCTGGCGAATCAAAGGCACAGAAGGATACCATATAGGAGATTCTTAGGGAAAATAGGCGGGGGGCAGGAGGTGCTCTTAGAAGACCTCTAAGGACCTCCAGTGATTAGATTCTGTATTCCCGAGGCCCATGCAGTGGCCTCCTTGAATGTGGTCACACACCCTGGCCATAGAGGGAAGACCAGACCCCTTCTAGTCACTCTCACCAAATTTCCCCATCACACAGGCTTAGGCCCAGTGACCCCGGACCAGTCCTGTTTCCTAAACTATGAGCTTTGCACATCTCTGCTTCCATGCCTTTGCTCATGCGGTTCTTCCTAGATGCCGTCCCTACTTCCCTTGCTCTCTAAGTGCTATCTGTTCTTCAATACCAAGTTCAGACATACTCCCCTGAGCTCTTGCCTGTATGCATTTTATGTCTTTCTGCATGCATCCCCTTGATGTTCTGTGGGGACTTTTGCTTGTCGCACAGTTTGGAGTTACTAAGGGAAGTTGTCTAATGTATACACAGATATTGACAAATTCACTTGAAGAGAGGCAAAGAGGAAGGGAGAGACTATGTTTTCAGTGATTCTTCTCATCTGATCATATAATGAGAAGGAAAGTGAGGTGGGGCCCCAAGCCTTTTACTCTTTCAATTGAGTTCTCTTTCAGTACCCTCTCTTAGGCTAAGTGGAATATGATTCTAATATCTTAAAAAATGGTCCTTTCCCATACAGCATGAGCTACAAATATAATCGAAATAGTCACTTGGGTTTTCACCTTAGAACTCGGCTGCTGTCTAAACTGTGGCTCTTTATATTTGTGTTAATGTCGTTTCTCTCCTTGAGTTAGAGAGCCTGTATTGCTACATTCAATTTTCAGCAGCTGTCCCCTGGAGCTGCTTTGAACTGTTCACAGCGCCCTCTGCCGACCATACGGTGACTCCTCAGTCTAAGGGGCCGACGTCGTCCACACACAGCTGCTTCAAACATCTGCCACCAACATCTAATTTTGATTTGCAGGAGACTTCTGTTTTATTGAAAATAATATTATTGTAACAATTGAAGTTTTCCCAGGATGATAAAATGGAAATTATTCTGAAACTCTTGGTAGTAAGCTAGAGATACATGGGGTTGGGGAGTAGTGTCCATTCCCAAGCCCAGACAAATCCACTGCTTGAATTAACTATAAGGTACACAGAGAGGCTGGGAACGCCCAATGGCAAGGAGTTTTAGGTAATAAATTTAGACGTCCAGAAAGCACACCCAGGATAATGCTAATTTGGCTGCTGCTCCAGTTTCCACAAATTTCTCCCCCCTGATGAATGGAGAATGTGTGCACATTAAATCAATGATATTACTCCAAATTCTGAGTCTGAGGGGCAAGACAAGAGCAATGTCACTGACAGAGAATGACTTGCTTGGTGGTAACCATGAAAACCTTTCAGCGTTGTATGCTTTGAAATGGAAGTGGTGAGAGAGGCGAGTAGAGACGTTTGGTAGAAATCTAGAACACGGGATTTGCCTCCAGGACAGAGCCAGCGGTTGGTGTAAAAAAGCTGATCCGGGAGTGGGAGGAAGCGGGAAACAGCTCTTCTCTGTGTTCCTCGTCGTCTGACCCTGACCATAACTACGTGTGTGTATGATTTCTGAGGAGTGGGGAGACTTGCCATAGTGTGTGTGTGTGTGTGTGTGTGTGTGTGTGTGTGTGTGATCAGCCCTTTGGCTTTGAGTCAAAAAGGAGGAGCAGCCAGAGCCTTTGGGAAGATGGAGCAGGGGCACGAGGAGGAAAATGGTCAGAGCTCTGGTTGGTAAGGTGGCGGATGCCTGAATCCACAAGAACTGAATATGGCCTGGGAAACAATGCCACATTTGACCAGGGGAAGGTCTGCCATACACATGCATTAGACCAACGTCAGGAGCAGAAACTGAACCTAGGGGCACAGCCCAGCGGAACCTTTAGGGATGCAGCCTTTAGTGAGAAGTTCCACGAACTGTGCTAATGCCATCTCCTGCCTGTAGATGCAGCAGAAGTCCGCGAGGGAGCGCTGCTCACCAACATTTTTAGTCATTGACGGGTTTGGGGCAGGATAACTGAAAGCAGCAGCGCTTCAGATTCTGATTGGGCCGTCTGTATGGTTACTGTCCTTTGTGGTCTCAGTAGGAGATGTCACTCCCAAATCTGTCCAGCCTCCCTATAAAGCAGGCCTGGGCTGCAAGGCCATCTGCTGGGGACAGATCGGGACACGCTGGCCATGCCCCATGCCCCACAGATGATGGAGAAATACTAATAAGGCTGTTCTATGCAACAGACTCTTCCCCACCAGGACACTGGGAGCGCTAAAGAGGCCGCGTGGGCCAGCAGGACTGGGTGTCTGTCCTTGAGGAGAGAGACTAGAGAGGTCACATGACCTCTCCAGGAAGCAAGGTGTGAGACTACAAGACTGAGAAGCAGCTTAGGGATAAGGAGCTATCTCTTTATTGCTGACAGTCGACCTAATAAACCAAGAGAAATCTAAATATTGCCCACAACTAAAGGAGAGATAAATATTGTCCACAATGAATCCAGAAGCATAAATATTTCTTTCTCATGGATTATGCACCTGTTAAACAAAAAGCTCTCATGACTAAATGCTTTTTAGAAAGAAGAGATTTATTGAACCAAATGCTAGCCAGAAAAGGACCAGGTGCTTGGGCACAAAGTCTAAAGCACCAGCAGCAGGGCTAGATAGAGAAAGCAACATGGCTGCTATCCTGGGGTTGACAGCCTCTGTATAGTCAGGTAGGGGGAGAAAGACGTAAATTGTTTTTGAGAGAATTCACACTGGCAATGGATAAAGGGGGTGGGAGAAGGTGACGTGGTGCTAGTTCCTCAAGAGGTGCAGAATCCAAGGAAAAAGTGTTTGTACTTTAGGATTGGTCATGGGCAAACAGTCTGGAAAGTTCAAGTGCAAGCAAGAAGTAGAGGCTCCTGGGGGTCAGTGGCTACTGGCTATTTGCTTTAGTAACTGCAGAAATAGCCACCTGAAAGTTAATCCAAAGTTTAAACATTCAGTAGTATAAGCGGTCTTTTGTTGGTTTTGGTCTGCAGTTGTTAACCGGTGAACTTCTGGTCTCTCCCTTTCACCCTCCGGGCCTGCTGCGATTTCACTCAGGATGTCTCAGAAGTGTCTCCTTGTCATTCTTGTCCTAGAACCGGCCCACTGCACCTTTCAAAGAGCCCGGTCAGCTCCAGGATGACAGATGTGTCTGGCCCCTCCATCCAGCCCTGCTTCCGGTGGTTTAGATGGTATGTGACCTGGTCCTTTTTCTGGCTAGCGTACGGCCCAATAGACCCTTCTTTCAGAAAATATTTTGGCCAGGAAGGCTTTTATTTAACAAAGGAATAATACCAATATGGGTACAAACACTTCTGGCAATAGCGATTATGTGTGTTTTGTATGCCTACTTGCCTCCATGTGTGAAAAAAATGTAAAAAGTGATCAACTGGGCAAGAAATTAAATAATGTAAAGAGATTTCTTTTTTTAAACCAAAACAGATCTGCAAAAATTATCTGGCCAAAAGGAGGGTCTTTAAAAGAAAAATTGTCCCAATACCATATGCTCTCATATGTGGAATAAACAAACAAAATGAACAAACAAAACAGAAACAGATCCATAGAAATCTGATGGTTGAGAACAAATTGATGGTTGCCACATGAGAGGGGGTTTGGGGGCCCGGGTGAAAAGGGTAAAGGGATTAAGAAGTACAAAGTGACAGTTACAGAACAGTCACGGGGAGGGAAAGCACAGTTTCGGGAATATAGTCATTAATACTCTAGTGACCGTCTGTGGTGCCAGGTGGGTGCCAGATTTATCGGGGGAGCCTTTTGGAAGTTACATAAATGTCTAACTACTATGTTGTACACCTGAAACTAATATAATATTGAATGTCAACTGTAGCTGAAAAAATTTTTAAAAGAAAGAAAAATTGTCCTGAAACTGATGCAGGACAGAACTTTTTTCCTTCTTTAATGATTTAATTCCCAACTTCCTTCTGGAAAGAAATTAGGATTCCTATAGAAAAATGCTTAGAAAATTTTCTGATAAACTTTAAGAGGATTAAGACTTGTTCTGGAAAACTAATCGCCCACTCACCCAACTGACAACAGCCAAGAGTCTCTGTGACCTTTTAATTGAACATTCTTTTCTTTTTAAAAAAATCTAGACTAACCACTATTATCTACCCATTCACCAAAAGTGAATTTCTAAGGTGGGACGACCAGAGGCCTTTCCCCTCACAGCAAGATTGTAATAGAACTCTGATTCATGACATAGTCCTAACTGAACTGTCTGGAGTGTTTTCTTTAGTCCTAGGGACAACCGTATGCCCCCTCTGTTCCCCTAAAGAATGGCGACTTGCTTGTGAAAGCTGGGAGCAACCACATGCAGCAAAGTAACACCCAAGCCTGACTTACCAAGCTCTTTGACATTCCTCAAACACACTGAGCAAGTTCTCTTCCAGAGGAGGCTATTCAGAGTGCGGGTTATGGGAATGATTAAGCCTCAAGCACCTCCTATAATTAAAACAAAAGGCTGAGCACTTTGATTTTATTCTGCTGTTGGACTTTGATTTATTCGGGGACTGAAGAAGATATTTAGTTATAGTGTAACCAGAAACAAGGGGTCAAAGACATACAGAGCATTAAGCTTTCCGAAGTGGGGCCACTGGCCTGGGAAGTCTCACGTGACACGCAGGTGAGATGAAAGGGGTGAAGGCGGAGGCTGCAGAACGACCTTCCCCGGAGGAGGTACCTGCTTTGGGTCATGCTTCACGTCAGTTTCCACCCAAACTTCCAATACTCTGTAAATGTTCCCAAAACGCTTCTAGCAAAACATGAATGTTGAAAGAGCATTTCACCCTGGCTGGTGTGGCTCAGTGGATTGAGCACTGGCCTGTGAACCTAAAGGTCACTGGTTCAATTCCTGGTCAGGGCATGTACCTGGGTTGCCGGCCAGGTCCCCAGCTGAGGGTGGGCGAGAGGCAACCGATTGATACAGCTCTCAAACATTGATGTTTCTCTCCCTCTCTTTCTCACCGCCTTTGCCTGCCTTCTAATAAATAAACAAACAAACAAACAAACAAACAAATAAGAAAGAGCATGTGTTCATTCAGATCATTTCACTTCAGTGTGTAGATGGCTCCCCTCTGGACACCCGCCCTTCCTCTCAGCCGCCCTGTTGCAGATGGAGACATCAGGCCGGTGCTGAAGCACCAATAATTTGGGATTTAGTTGCCCTACATTTTCAAAAATGCCCTCACTAATTCTACTCCCTTTTCCCCCTCTGGGTTTAATACAAAAAGTGGCCCCTAAAAAAAATGCTGTTCCATTGGTACCATAAACCAACCCCTCCCCTGTTCTTGAACATTTAGGGTTGTTTTTTTTTTTACCATCTTAAACGAAGTTGCAATGGATGTCCCTGTGCATATATCTCTGCTCCTGTGGGTCACCTTTCCTCACATCACCGCTTTTAGATTTAATTCTGTTTTCCACGAAGTTTTCTCTACCAGAAGAGAATGTGGTACCAGAAACTTGACAGCATTATTGTTCAAGTTAAATCATTGAATGGGTCTCTGAGTGTAAGTGATGCTTATCGAAGTGAAGAAAAGAACGAACAGCTAGCCAAGGGCATGTCCGCCCCCCAGGGAGCAGGTGGACCCGGGAACACAGAGCAGCCGCTGCCTCTGTGAAGCCTTCCGGTCGTCAGCCCTCAGCCGTAGTTCTCATGTTGTCTGGATTCACCCGCTGGGAGGTCATTTGTCCATTATATCCTATGGTCCATTTTGTGGTCCTTTTTTGCTTTTTCCTTTTTTCTGCTTGGCACTTGGGCATAATGGCTGGGGCTGCATCAGCCACCTTGAAGCCATGAGGGAAACTCAGAAACCTCAGCCCTGATTCCCTTGAGCTTTAGACATTAGTCGCTGGTTACTTCAGAAATCCCTGTATGAGAACATACACCCTTATGTGTTTAAACCATTCCAACCAGGTCTTTGTGACCCAGAGCCAAACACAATTTTTAACCGATGTGAAAGGGTTCCCTGATGAGATGACATGTAAGCTGAGACTGGAAGAATTATGAAGATATTAAGATGGCAGATACTAGAATAGCACAGAAAAGCCAAGAGCCCTTTCCACTGCACTGCACTGCACTGCTAATTGCCCACCATCTTCCAGGCAGCGGGACAAGGGAAACATAAGGAAAGGAGATTCTAAGGCAGAATTGACTTGTCCAGAAGTGATATTTGAAACTAGGAGGGAGGGAGAGCTTGGCAGGCTTGTACACTTCCTGCGTGGCACTTGTCACACCGCGGTCGCAGTTACGGGATCCCTGGTGTGACCACCTTTCTGTCTCCCCACTAGACTGAAATCTTCATGAGGTCAGGGGCAGTGTCTGTGGCTGGCCATCACTAGCGTAATGCCTGACACAGAGCAGGCACAGAAGAACAGTGGTTAGATAAGCTACAGCGGGGAGAACTAGGGTAAGAGGAGGAATAAAAGAGAAACAGGCAGAGGGTTGGAAAACCTGGGGTGGCGCAAGCTCCCCATGATTCTCCTCCAAGGCACGCAGGGAGACTTCCGGTCAGGGATCACTTCAGGGACCCCCCCTGGAATGGCTGTCCGGCTCCCAGCCTTTCTTTCCTGGCGACCTGACAGGCATGAGGTTTGAGCTGGTCATCCACAGCATCTTGGCCTTGGCTAAAACAATTGATTCAAAACATGGGGACATGACCCAGGTCAGGACAAGGAGAGCCCTTTCTCAGAAATTGCCAAGGTGGAGTTGAGAGAAGGGACCCCTTCTCCTCCAGCTGTCAGGGTGTGAGTTGGAACTTCCTGCAGCCTGGTCCAGCTTCCTGGAAATGGCTAGTCTCTGGGGATGGGCTTGACATCCGGAGAGAAGCAGGGAGAGAGCTAGGGAGAGAAAGAGCTAAGGATCTTCAGGCTCCTGGTTCCAGCTCTCCCTAAGGTCAGCTCCACCCGGCTCTTCCCAGTCGTACAAGCCAATAGTCACCTTTTGAATTCCTTTGGTGCTTAACAGAGTGGGTGCTAGGTTCCTCTTGAGATCTATCAGCAGCTTTTCTCTCCAAAAAGCACCCTGGATCTGACCACTTCTCTGCCTCCACAGTCACACTCTGGTCCAAACCACCGCTACCTCTTTCTTACCTGGACAAACGCAACAGCCTCCCAATAGACTTCCCCATCCCTCTCTGCCCAACAGACCAGTGACGATAAATGTCAGTCAGATCAAGTCACTTCCCTGCCTAAACCCTCCAGTGGTTTCTCACGACGTCCCAGCTCCTCGTCCTGTTTTACAAGGCCCTGCGAGATCTGCTTCTGTCTACCCTCCAACTTAATTCTACGCCTCTGCCCCTCCTCACCCCGCTTCAGCTCCTGTGCCCTTCAGGGCCCTCCCTTTCATTCCTCAGACTCCTTGAGCTCATTTCTTCAGTACCTTTGTACCCGCCATCCCAGGTCTTTGCGTGGCTCCTTGTTAACTCTGGTTTTCAGTATGGAATGCGGCACTCAGAGCTCTCGGGCCCCATCTTTTTCTTTATCATTCTGTTGTTTACATTATTCACAGAAACTGACACTAGCTGAAATGATCTTGTATATGTTTTGGTAACTTTTTGGTTGTCTGTCTATCCCCCCTAGAGTGTGAACTCCAGGAGAGCAGGGTTCGTGCCTGTCTTGTTTACCATGTCATCTTTGTAGCAGGTACTCAAATGATATTTATTGAATGAGTGAATGGGTGAATGAGTTACACAATGAAGAGTTGCTGGAGTTCCCCGCAGGCCCCCAGGCTCCCTGCTGGGCCCCTTCCCTCCGCACCGTGCTCTTGTGCACACCGTCGACCTCCACTGAACTCCTAGCGCACCTTGCACCTGTCACTTGAACTCACTCAACTTCTGTTACCTCATATGTGACGTGGGAACCCTGCTCCTTGTCTAGCCAACTCCAAGGGTTGTTGGAGATTCAAGGAGCCAATGGGTGGAAAAGCCCACAGCCCACTGGTGGTCGGAATTGCATGGGCCTGGCCTGGTGAGGGAGAATCTTACTCCCGCTTCCCCACCGTGCACTCCCTACTCTGCGCTATTCGGCCTGGCCTGCTTCCTCCTTTCTGTATCACTCACACAGCCTCACATGCTCGGCCTTCCCCGCCCCTGGCCCTCCAAAGGTCTTTTATAGCTTCTGGTGAGGAATTCATGTAAGTCCATGACCGTCACTGTGAGAAAGAGCAGGCTGTAAAAGG